CTCAGGTAAAGTCATAGAATGAATGTGACTGCTCCAAAGGACAGGCAAAGTGCATGTCTGTAAAGATCAGAGCTGAAAATAAAGGGAAGCATGGTAGTCCTGTTCCCAAGCCACTTAAACCCCGGTGGCACTCAGTATATGATACAGGTTGTGTGTCACAGTGGAATCTGTTGTGCTCTTTCTGGTTTTCACGTATTTATGTGTAGTGCAGCTCTCTTCTATGGTTGTATTTTCTTCCCTCCATTTCCAGGTTTTCTCTTAGAAATGGTTTTGTTAAACTTCTCCTTTGCCACGTCTGTAATTGAAAAAGCAAATGCAAAGAGGGGGGGAAATCCCAGATGAAGCCATGGCATGTTATTTCTGCACGTTACTTCCAAAGGCTGTGCTTTCAGGAGCTGTGTTCCTGTAAAATCTAAAAGCTTCCTTTTCTCCTTACGTGAAATAAGGAACTCCCAAGATTTAAGAGTGCTGGTTCATGTGTGTAGATGGCTTGAGCTAGACAGCAAAGGTTGTTGCTACCTTGATTTACTTGGTCTGCTTCATCTGAGCTTAAAGGCTGGCCTGGACTTGAAGTACCTCCTAAGGAGAGGAAAAGCAAAGCTGAGCACCAAGTGCTCTGGCTATCTCACTTTCACTTGCCATTGTTCCTGAGCTGCTGTAAGTTTATGCTCAACTCTTGTGATCTCAAGGATGATTCTTGTGGTATTTTGAAGCCAGAAGTACTTGAGTGCTGTGTCTGCATCAGGTGAAGCTCTCCTTTATCATACAAACATCCATCCAGACACACAGAGAACTGTTTTATTTTCTGCTTCAAACTGATAATGAGAGACACAAATATCCCATATTCCATGAAAAACAGGACATTTAAATTCTGCCCACGAGAACACGTTCTTTCAAAGCCTCTTTGGAGGAGCCCAGGACTGCTTGTTTCATCCCTGTTTGCTGAGAGCTCTTTGAATGCCTGCACCACCACCAGCTAAAGAATGAATGTAAACTATCCCTGAAACAGATTCATTTAACTCTGGTCTAAGGTGCAGCATTTGGCCTCTCGGAGGCAAAACACACTAACTGACTTTGGTGTGGCAAACTGAGCGCTTTGTTCATTCAGACTGCTCATTTGGTGTGTAATGAGAAGGGCCCCACATTACCCTTACTTTTCACAGCCAGGATGTAAAGGGCAGGTCATCAGCGTTCAACAGCAGCAGAAATAGTTCTGACTCTGTTCATCTTCTGGTCCATAGGTGTTGGTTAGCCAGGTTTGGGGATTAGTGATGTGCATTTTGCTTTCAATACTGTCTCCCTCAGTGAGGCTGTATACACAGAGCAGAATTTGGCTTGCTCAACTGAACGCCCTGCCTCTGAGTACAGCCAAATGTGTCTACAGTTTATAGATTACTAATAGTTCACTAGAAGATAAAGCAAACATCACTTGGAGCATAAACCAGGTTTTACGTTGCAAAGCTGCACCTTGCATCTTGTAGAAGGCAATGTTTCCTCCAACTTTAAGCTAGAAGACTTAACTGAAGCTGCTGCTGTTACTTTGGTTCATGCATGACTTAACACAGACATGGAATGTGATGTAACACATTCAGTGTGTGTCAACACAGACATTTGCCGTGATGTAATCTTTGGTTTTGGTAGAATTTTCTACATAGGAAGGTATAATTACTTTATTTAGTAAATGATGATGCACATAGATAGTTTTAATAATTCTTCTTGATACTGGGGGGTCACAGAGGAGTCATGATTTCTATCCCATCCCCAAATCTACACTGTGTTATTTAGATGGATTTAATGCATTAGAATGAATGCAGTACCTGATGGTTAAGAACTGTGTCTCTTGATGGGCTCAGTTTTGCATTGTGACCAATAAAAGGGGCTTGATCCTAGCTCACAGGAAGACATTGGTCATGCTGCAGCCTCAGAGTCTCAGCTCCATCATGTCAGTCCCTTCTCTCATGGTCTTCCCCTTTCTTTTCCACCGAGTTGAGTGCTGTTTGTTGTTGCTAATTGTAGATAATGTAGTACTGATGCTCGGAAAAATATAGAGAGATGATATTCACCCAAAGGATGATATCGCTATCTTCAGAGCTGCTGAGACAATTTTGCTGGCATCGACTCATTTAGTGATGAATTGCAGTAATAGCAGTTCAAGACCTCCAGCATATTAGTGAGAATGAATCCACTGAGCGCCAGTCCCATGGCACTACAACAGCACTTAAAGAACACTGATTTCCTTGAAGGGAGAAAAATCTGATTAAGGGATTTAGCCGAGTTTCTTTGTTTGGTTTCTCTGACAAGAGCGTGGCATTTGTATTTGTTTCTTGATGTATGTTATAGCAAGGAATTTAATATCCATCAGAAAACCAGGAGAGTGCCATGAACCCAGGCCACTGTTTTCTGTTTAAGCAGATGGACGTTTCCTATGCACTGCAATAAGCAGAGATGTAGCACTAGGATTGCTTTTAATTTCTTGTTACAAACTGACTTGCCACCTTGGTTATACAAGGAAGAAAAGATCAATATGCTAAAAATTGAGAAGATCCATAGTGTACAGTGGTGGCTCTCTGTGGTAAAAGTGTTGTAGAAATGAATGCAGTAATTGGAAAGGATTATTCTAATAAAACCCAAGGCAGCCTATTATTGAAATAGTTGCCTAATTTGAGAGAAATAGGGATAAAGACAGGCTTCGTGTTAATAATGTGTTGATGCTGTGCATGAGAACAGAGTGTTCCTTCAGCTCTGGAGTGTGATCAGTGGAGAACAGCAGCGTCCCAAGCTGGACTTCTTTGTGTCATCTCCTTTAAAATCACCCAGGCCCTGGAAGATTAGAGGGATCTGGAATCCAAGAATTCCTAAAACAGGAGGAGAACATGCAAGTATGCATCTCCTCCTCCATCTCTATGTCCTTCATGTACAGCTGGGAGGGGGCATGTTTGGGACATGGCTAGAACATATGTAAGTGTAGCTGAAAGCGGCTCCAAGGAGAAACCCTGTTCTGCTTTTGGTAAGTGTTAATGCAGCATCTCTGTATGTGGTGTTCAAAACAATTCCTTTATCTGAAATCTCACTTGGGTTTGTAGGTATTTTCTTCCTATTTTTATGATGAACCTCAACCACTGATTACAGTTAATGTCAAAGGATCATGAAAGCATTTTAATTCTCTTCCACATACCACAGCATGTTTGTAAAGATGTTCAAAGTGTGTGATGTATATTTAGGTGGTGATTTCTCCATTTCTTGGGGAACTTACGGGGGAGGAAGTAAAGGGATGCTGATAAATCAGCTCCTTTTGGTCAAATACTGTGTAGTTTTACAGTCTGTAGGAGAGGCAGGGAGATATTCTGAAGAACTGGGATTTATGGATAGTTCTGCTATTTTAGGGCTAATACAGACTACTGCTTTGTCAGGCTGACAACTCCAGAAGGATTATCTGGAGATACGAGCAATCATCGACAGTTCAGGCAAGACCTTTTCTGTGCTGAGGGCAGGGATGCACTCCTGGTGATGGCTCCATTAAATGGGTCTGCTTATGTGAGGGCAACAAAAAGAGTATTTGCTGTTGCTCTGCTATCTTTGGGAAAAGCTAAAAACTCGATACACAAGTGTATGGAGGAAGCAGTGGTATTTATAGCAGATGACTTGGTGGGTAGATGTGGGTGTTGATACACACAGGGCTCTCGCTGATGAGTTATGATGAAGAACTCTTTCTCTGCGTGTTGTGATTTGACAAGCAGCATGCCACTTCTCTCCAACTCGCTTGCAGTTTCTGGAGGTTAAAGTCAGAGGAATACTTTTTCTGAATAAGAATTAACAAATAAATCACAGAATCATAAAATCATTTAGGTTGGAAAAAGCCTTTAAGATCATCGAAGCCTGTGTTGCCTTCAGCTAGATCAAGAAGCTTCTCAGGCTGAAGATTCAGGACTTGACAAGGTACTCGAATAGTAGTAAACTAAAAATGCTAAGGCTGTGTTGACAGCATCATCCAAGAGCTCAGATGATTTATTAATGCAAAACATCTTTTAAGGATTAACAAGATGATTCCTACATTGCTAACGAAAGAGTTGAATTGCAAATCTTCAGATGTACCTTTTTGGCTCTGATGCAAACATGCGCTGCTTCAAGCAGCACGAGCTACAGGCTTCTAATTTTAAAAGCCAGATTTCCTCAGAGAAGTTAGGATTTAATTACAGAGGTATTTAAAAGCACACAAACAGTGCACATCTTGAGGTGCATTCGCTGAATCGAGATCAGTGAACTAAGGCAAGTAAGTCTGCAGAATGCTCGTTGAGGTAACGTAAGAGGTGGGTTGAACTGTCCGGACGCAGGCTTAAGGTTGTACCACGTTATAGTAACTATCTGTAAGGGCTTATAGGTTGATTTAAGTAATGTAAGTTAGGGATGAACAGCATTTAGCTTCTTCATGCTTTTGTCATGTGTAAAGCAGTGCGAATGCTGCAAAGAAGACTTTGATATGCCAACTTTTCATTTCGTTTCCTTCTGAAAGAAATATCATTAACAATTCAGAAGGTGCAAATAAACCAGACGAGATTCAAATGCCATTAATGGAATTATATCAAGAGTTGGAATAATATCCCTTAATCTTAAAAAGAGGTAAGTCTCTTACAGAATTAGGGTTTTTCTGCTGCTTTTCATGCTGTGTGAGGTATTATGGTTAACAGGAGATGCTGATAGGAAGCATCCTCACTAATCCTGTTTGGAAAGCGGCTCGTTCTCTGCACGTTAGAATAGGTACAAGAAGAGATTTTATAGGTCCTTTGTTAAATAACTACTTAATTACAGCCCCAAAGAAGCAGAGATCTGTGAATACTGCTGGCTGTTTTCCCTAGGACTGGCCTAAAGCAGGTGAGAAGCATCACGCGTAACGCCTTGGGGTGCTGCAGAGGAATGTGTGTGCAGATTTACATTGGCAAATTCAAAGGCAGAGCTTGTTAGGAAAGGCATTAAAAACATGTTATTAAACAGCTTCTACTCACCCTTCTCTGTGAGCTTCTCCTTTCTCTAGCTCCTGTATAACACCCAACAACACTTTGATGGTTTCCTGACTGGAGCTGATCAAACTTTCCATCATCTGAAGCTGGGCTTTCAAGTCCACAACTTCGGTGTGAGGCACGATTTGTTGGCATTCCTCGCTGACCGCCACGGCCGTCTGGCAAGGCTGGCTCTCCTCCATGGGCGAAACGTTCAGCTGAAGGGTCTGCTCGTTACATTCGGTGGCTTGACACTGCGCCCGCGACGAGCAGGCTCGAGCATCTCCCGCCGCCTGGGGCTGAGCACCGTTGAGGTGCACCGTCCTCTTTTTGTCCTCCTCGGCTGTGGGGCACGGGGACCACTCGGCCTCGGCCGTGAGACGGGACAAGTCGGGCTGGGAGGCGTTGGAACCAGACGCTGGTAAATAAACAGTGGCCACCTCAGTCTTGAAGACCCTCCCGTGGAGGGCTTGGGTGGCCTCCTCGCTCCCCGCTGCCTGTTTCCCTCGGCTGGGCGGGCGGGCAGCGGGGGTGGGATCCTCCAAAGCGGGGTCGGATGAGTTAGGGAGAGCAGGAGGAGGAGGTGTGCCTACGGGAGAGCTGTGCAAACCGGGGCTTTCCCAGGCCTCGGCCCCGTTGTCGCGGGATCCCGCGCTGGAGCGCTCGTTGATGTGGGAAATGAACTCTGCTGTCTGCAGGCTCCCGGCCTTCCTTCCCCACTGAACGGCCTCCCCGGAGCTCCCGCTGTCTTTGTCCTTCACATCTATTAGAAACCCGTTGTTTTGACCCTTAAAGGTGTCAACGGCCGAGGCGCTTTTAAGAATATTCCCTTTTTTCCGGTCCAGAGGAAAGGTCTGGTAACACTTCTTAAGATCAGGTGAAGTCTGGACTCCTGTGCTCTTGGTGACGTTGGGTATTGACCTCCGGGCAGGCACCGTCATGTACTTGCGATAGGTTTTGTAGGAAATGGACTTGGCCTCTCTCTTGTCGGGATCCGGTGTGGTCGAGAGCTCTTTGTCCCTCTGCTCGTTCTGGGCCTCGCAGATATCTTTAAATCTCACCTGGAGGGCTTTGTTGCGTTTCTTGATCTGCCGGTTGGGATCCAGCGCGTATTTCATCTCCAGTGCGAGTGAAGCTGCTGGTTCAACTTCGCTTTCTGAGGTGGTGAGTAAGCATTTGCTGGGCTCCTTACTCACCATGATGCCTGCAGTCAAAAACAGTTCAGAAAGCATCATGTTATGACAGAAATGCTGCTTTTACCCTCCCAAGTTTGAAGTGTTTGAGCTAAATTCTGCTTTGACTGAAACGGCTGCCACTCATGGAATGGTTTGGGTTGGAAGGGACCTTAAAGCTCATCCAGTTCCAACCCCTGCCACGGGCAGGGACACCTTCCACTAGAGCAGCTTGCCCCAAGCCCCTGTGTCCAACCTGGCCTTGAACACTGCCAGGGATGGGGCAGCCACAGCTTCTCAACCCTTTTGCTTGATTCTGTCCCACTGAGGGTGCTGGCTCCATGGCTGGACTTCACTGCAAGGCAATATGGGTTCTCAGGAGTCGAGTCTTCTGAATTCACTCAATAGTTAATATACTTCATAACTAGAGCAAACCCTAGCTATAGATCAGTAATCATTAGCAACTGGTAGTGCTGTATGCATAACATTGATGAACTACTGAAAGTTTATGGAAGAAGTCAAGCAGTGCATCAATTAAGGTTTTGCTTCAAATGCAAACGAACCCATCCTTGACAAAAAGCAGTAATATGCCTTTAGAATGGAGCTTTTTATCCCAAAGGATCCTAAAGCACTAAAAGAAAGAAAACAGCACAAAAACCCCTGTGATGATTCACAGAAATTACTAAATCTGCTATTGAAATATAAGCACCTCCTCAAGGATGAGAAGATGCCAAGTGCTTAACACAGCACATAGCAGAACAACCCCTCAACAGCTCTATTGTTGTATAGATCATATGGGATCTGTAGTAAGGGGGTAGTTAAAGGCCTCATTTTTACACCTCATTTGAAGCGGTCGTTTTTACTCTCTTATTGTACAAATTTCTCCCTAATGCTGTGATTTACCGGATTGCCAAATTCCCACTTAATCCAGGTATTCTGCATGTATCTCCTATTTAAACACCAATGTACCCTCAGAGGGACTCGGAGTATAATGCAAAAGGAGTAAAGGGACTTTCAGGTGTGGCATTTGAAATAGGTTTTTAGTTAAAATCAAATAATAAACGTAAAGCTCTTGAGATAAGTGTGCCACAATAGAGTTTGTTTTGTAACGTCAGCTCAGTGACACAAATGAATCCTTATGAATAGTTTGTATTTAGTTTTAATGCAAGAAAACGCAATCAAGAAATTACTATCAATGGGGAAAATGAATCATTATGGGGTTTTAAAAGTAATAAAGTTATGAAGATAGGCTGAGAAAGTTGGGGCTGTTCAGCCTGGAGAAGAGAAGGCTGCGTGGAGACCTCAGAGCAGCTTCCAGTATCTGAAGGGGGCCTATAGGGATGCTGGGGATGGACTCTTCATTAGGGACTGTGGTGACAGGACAAGGGGTAATGGGTTCAAACTTAAACAGGGGAAGTTTAGATTGGATATAAGGAGGAAATTCTTTCCTGTTAAGGTGGTGAGGCACTGGAATGGTTTGCCCAGGGAGGTTGTGAATGCTCCATCCCTGGGAGTGGTCAAGACCAGGTTGGACGAAGCCTTGGGTGAGATAGTTTAGTGTGAGATAGTTTAGTGTGAGATGTCCCTGCCCATGGCAGGGGGGCTGGAACTGGATGATCTTAAGGTCCTTTCCAACCCTAACTATTCTGTGATTCTAATAGTAACATTTCCCCAAGGTTACTGAGACAGACAGATGCGTATCTGTATATTGCAGGGTTGGACTCTGGGGTTATCAACTTGCTTTCAACTAACCTCACGCAAATGTGTCATTAGTGCTTTTGTCCTGGTTTTCTTCCCTGACCTCAGTCGTTTGTGAACAAGTAACTGAAATACTGTAAAATCTGTCTAGTTTGCCTTTTCCCACCTAACTTGTCAGGTTCAGGTAGTGGTGAGTGAGCAGCAGTCGTTTGAGAAGGGCAAGGTTTTACGTGAATTGGCAGGATGTGGGAAGTCTGCGGAAGCAAGCAGTAAGAAAGAAGATTTAGGACAAAACCATTCAAATAATGGGATGTGAAATGAATAGATACTCATTTCCAAACTAGATACGGATGCACAGGCCTAGTACCTGATACCAGCGTGACCAAGACTCTCTTTTGGGGGAAAAGGGGTTATGAAATGAAAGTTCTAGAGGGAAACCTGAAGATGAAACTGGAGTTAGGCTAGTAAAGTGATCTGTGGTTTGTGCCCTACTGGGGTTGTGGGGTGCGATCAGTTATCCCTGTGCCTTTAATATGTGATGTACAGACAGAGACAACATTTTGAGGAGGGAGAAATAAATCAGCTACATGTGAATGTCAGGAATTTTCTGTTCCAGTTGGAGCCCTAGTCAGTCGTGCTTTGTCGGGAATGTTAGTGTTGTACTGGCTGGTTTGAGCTGTCTTTTAATTATGGTTTATATTCGTATATGTTTATACATCTCTAGCTTATTTCTTTAATTATATGTTTGCCAAGGAAAGTTAGGCCTTTACTTGAGAGACACTGTGCATGTGGAACTGGTTCACTGCTTCCGAAGATGGTGATGGTAGGAAATGCAGGCAGAGGTGGTAGGAAATACAGACATCCATCCATCTGTCTGCCTCGGGGTGGAATTTTGGAGTGCTGTAGTGAATAATGAAGCTTCGTCTAAAATACAAACCTGATCCATTAGCCTGCAATTGGCCAGTAGCTTTAGACACGGCTAAAATATGTTGTAAAAACGACTGTCAAACCCCCAACCTCTGCCCTTTCATCAGCGGAGAGCTACTGGGAGCCAGTCCTGCAGAACTGTCTGCTAAATTGATGAGTTTACCCAAAACCTAAATGCAGGCACACAACGGCCGCTATATCCATTAGTGTTCAAATCTAATGCGAGTTCATGCACTGCTAAGAAATTGTAGCAAATACAAAATGTTCCATTTAGAGAGATGTGAAATACTCGGTAATTACATCTGGAAAGAGGTTTTTATCCATGAAAGAGGCTTACAAAAATCAGTTGTTAGGTCTGAAAGTCACTTATTACAAACATCTCTTAGGATATCTCAGCGTTTCCAAGTGAGTTTTCTGGCACTTGGTTATTTGACAGTAGGATCCACGAAGATACAATTCAATATTGCTATTTCATTAGTGTGCTTCTGTCTCAGTTTTCAGATTATTTCATGTATCACTTTAATCCCATAATCTCTGGGGCTGCAGCATCACTGGGTCTGGTTGCAATGGCTTAACAAATGGAATTAACGGAGTCTATAACCCATATGAAACCAAGAGCCTGGCGATGCTCTCCACAACAGAAGTAGATAAATGCAGTGCTCTGCTCTGTGATACAGTTAATTTTAAGCATGTCTTTAATAGCCAATAAATTGATTCTTCAAAAATTGCTTGTCTCCCTTTCCCAGCTGCCCAGGCCTGATAGATTCAGCTAATTTAAAGTCTCCTATTCCCACTAGTAGCGTGGGCTAATAACTTTATAGAACCCTGTGACTGACAGCACCCTAAAGAACTGGACTTTCTTCATAAGCCTGACTCGGATGCCAGTGTCTCCAAGGAGAACTCTATGTGCACATTTGGTAAAAGAATGGTTGAGCAGACAATTGTGAGTTAAATATTTAAAAGGGAAGAGTTTTATAGAATGCCTTTTTTTGTTTTGTTTCATTTGGTTTGGACAAGGAGCTAACTCCAGTTTTGGCTTACTTAGCCTCTAGCATCTGTGGTGGTGTCTCCTGGGAGGCTCTGCTCACTTGTTCAATCTCTACTGGAAGCCAACAGTCCCACCAGTTCCTGCAAAGAGGAGCGTGCCACAGGCACAGACTGGACCTTCAGAGACTGGATTCCAGTCCCTGGTCTTACTTATCTGTAATTCTGGCCATTACTCAGCTCAGGAATGTTTTGTAGAGCACGAAGCAAGGTTGTCTGTGAAATATGGGGCTTGGGATACTTCAGGCAGCTCCTGAGATGGAGTTTCTCAGTTTGAATGCAGACTTTATGGCTTACTCTTATTTAGTGGCTTATTCTTACTGTGAGGGTGCTGAGGCGCTGGCACAGGGTGCCCAGAGAAGCTGTGGCTGCCCCATCCCTGGCAGTGTTCAAGGCCAGGTTGGACACAGGGGCTTGGAGCAAGCTGCTCTAGTGGAAGGTGTCCCTGCCCGTGGCAGGGGTTGGAGCTGGAGGAGCTTTAAGGTCCCTTCCAGCACAAACCATTCCATGATACTCTGTCACAGGGTTAATACAGGCTTTGAATTTGGATTTTAATTGCAGATACCAGTTAAATACAGTTAATAGACTTCTTGTCTGTAGTTACTCAAACCCTGATTGCATGAGCTGAGTTGCTAAGCTAAATACTGAAGTAATCACAGAGCCTATTTGTCAGCTTTTAGCCTTGATTTATGAACTTCTGGCTGATTACCCTTAAACAGTGCTCCTTTATGTCTGAATAGGGAAATAAATTATTAAATACTAATACTAATAATACAAAAGTGATGCACAGAGAAGCCTTAAGTTAGTATAAAATCTTCAAGGGAGGTTACAGAAACCATCCCCTTTGTTCTTTCAGGTTCTCCATAGCGTGTTTTGTTCAGTTAAATCCTTCCCTTTCAGTTCACTGTTACTGCTGCTGCAGAGATTTCTTCCCCTCAGTTCAGCAATGCAGTGGGCATTTCAAGGAAGGAGACCTAGTTTATGTGATTTACACCTCAATTATGAGGAGCTGTGGGCTCCCAACTGGCCTGTTCAAGCCTGTGTCAGCAGGTAGAGCTTAGGTATGTACGGAGATCTTTACAGGACCTCCGCTTTTAATCCAGACCTCTGCAAAGTCACTGCACTCCGAAGTGAATTACGGTGTTGAATTTCCTACTAATTTGTTAATGAAGGGGAAGGAGATCTGTAGCTTGCCTTGTAATTTAAATCCTATTTCTGTCAGGTTTAGGACACAGAAGTACATACTCAAAGACTAAATGTGTTAATAAGCAGAGCGGACTTAAAACTTCCCACGTTCCCAATGCAGGTGAAAGGCGCAGATTTCAGTTGCTGGGCTTTCAGACCCAATGAAGGCTTCAGAGAT